TACCCCCAAGTCTTTCTTGGCATGGCTGCTCTCAATCCCTTCATCCTCCAGCCTGAGTTGATAGTGACCCAGATGCTAGACCCTGCAGTTGGCCTTACTGAACCTCATGAGGTTCACAGGGGCTCACTTCTCAAGCTTGTCATGGATGGGGGTCACACTGTGACTGCATATAGAAGTCTGTATAGGAGAAGCTCAAGTCTAAAGGTACTTCAAAGAAATTCCAAGTTCAGTCAAGGAGAGAAATGTCTTTCTGTATTTCCTCACTACGTAATAAGAACATCAAGATATCAGCACAACAGATATGGCCCAGCTGTAGAGATTCACAGCATCATAAAGGCAGTGAGATGCTACAGCAGTAAGAAGTGCCCTATATGCACACACTAGCTACATTACACATCTTCACCACCAGCTGCTTTTTCTAGCCTCTGTTCATCATCACTAGAAGATAATTAATTTAAGGGCACAGAAAATACCTATTATAACCTAAAAGGGGGAGAGAAGGCATCCCATCATATCAAGTGAATACAAGGGAATATAAGTTGGGAAGGAAGAAAAGGGAAGGATGAAATAAAGGGTTTCTAGAGTTAACCCTTCTTCCAAGTGACACTGCTCATTCTTCTCATAGTACCTGCACTTTCTTCTTGTAGGACAGGAATGAGGTAAGAGCATGGAAGGTTGGCCATGGTGCTGAGTCCCATCTAGTGTGGGACCCTACTGTGGGCTAACACCCTTCTGGGCCAGAGAACATGCTCCCAGACAGTCCTGGCAATGAGGCAGGGATCTCAACATGAAAAGTTAGAGAAAAGGCGAGAAACTGTCACAGTGGTTTCCATCCATAGGCCTGGATTTCTCTTTACCTGAAGAGCCTCAAATGAAGGCCTTTTCTGGCCCCAGCTTCCAACCCTCAGTTAAGTGTGTTCTGTGTTTGCCCACATTTAAACAGGGCAAAGATACAAACCAGAGACTGAGCTTTGCCAGCTTAACGTTTTTTCAAATGTTGCTCCATGGGGTCTCTCATGCTTTACTGTGGTACAACCGGAACAAATTTCAGTCCCTTGTAAAGAATTTCAATTTCAAGGCTGTACTTTTTGTTTCACTGGACTGGTGAAGGTTCCATTTGCCCTGCCCAGGGTAGATACGCAGCAGCATGTACCCCACTTCCCCATGGCTGCCCCAGCCTGATTAAGAAGAGTCTCTTGCCCTGGGAGAATTGTGTGGAGTTTGGCCTCCATGTTCATACCAGCTCTTCCCTCACTCAGACTGTCAACAAGCACTCCAGCCAGCTTTGCCCACTATTTATTTTGATAGTGACTGTTTATTATGAACAGAACTACATTCTTAAACTCATTTTGCACAGACTAAGAAACAAATGTCTGCTGAGCACAGCACAGCCTCTGATTTAGCCTCTCACTATCAGAGGTCAAAGGGGTGATGCTGCTGCACAGTATTACAGAAGGGCTGGCCCATAGTCATGGGGAAAATGGTTTTCTTGAAGCCGTAATATCAAGCAGTTACAGAGCTGAATGTAGAATCAGCTTTATGGCCAACAGTACAAATGTGCAGCAATACAAGTCTCTGACTGTCCCACTGCACAGTTCTGTAGACACACAGGGCACCAAAACCTCTCTGAAATAGCACACCAAACATCCATCTTCTTGTGAATTAAATAAAACCAGGAGAGCCCAAACTTTAGACTGAGTGTTCCAGCCACACTCAGAAACACTCCCAGTGTGCTGATACAGGTTCTAGGTTTAGCCACTAAAAGGACAAAGGGCACAAGCAGGCAGCAATCCCAGAGAAGCATGCTGTCCAGAGAGTACTTCCTACTACCTGGCAACTATAGTAGCAGGACAGCTTTGGAGGCTGTCCTGTGGCACTGAGCTCTCAGTTCCTGCTGGCTTCAAAAATACAAAGGGATGCACACCACTTCAAAAACAAGGTTAAAAATATCTATATATAAGTTGCAAGGAATAAAATGCATATTAAGGTAAATAAGTGATGATTGAATAAGTCAGTGTCCAAAATGAATGGCTTGAATTCTTTATGAAGGTGGATTCCCTGAAAGAATTCTCACCATACTACCTTGGTACCCCCATGAGGCCCTGATCCTTGCACTTATGTTGACTTGGGAGCTCTGTGATTTACAAACTCAGTTTGTAGAAACTGCCCTTCTCTGTAGTTGCTGAACTGAGACTCTGCCATGACTTAAGAATGAAGATGGTTGCTTGTTAAATTAGAGGTCAATTAACTCCACCAGTAGATGATGCCACTTGCAATAACTGCTCTCAGTGGGTACCACTCTTCCCATACGGGGATAGAAGACGAAATGAGGCCTCCATTGCCTCTGGATGTTCTCTGGGGTACACGACATACAGCCCTGTGTATAAAATGTCAAAACAGCCCTGTCAGAGCCTCACTGCCTGCTAAAACTGTGAAGATCTCACAGCACCGTGGATTGTTGTTGACAGAACAGCAGCGCCCAGCATAACACATGCCTTGTTAGCAAACTGGAAGCCTCTCAGTAGTCTGGGGTGAGGGAATAATAGAGGAAGCCAACACAACGCAAGCCAGGCCTGTGGAGAATAGCAAGTGAACGAACCTTGGCGGAGAGTCCAAGCAAAGCCTCAGACTCACTCTTTTCTTCCCCTCTTTCAAACTTTCTCTTCTGCAAACATGGGCAGTTTTCAATGAGTGCTTCCCACCGTGAAACTCAGCTGCTGAAATCAGCAGCATCTTCACCAGCAGTGGTCATGACTGGCACAACTGGACTGTGCAAACACTGGGAACAACCAACTGCTATTTTTCAGACAAGCTAGACCTAAGGTGACACGCTGACCATGACACTATGGCTCTACCCTACACAAGCAGCTGAGTCCTTGCTTTTGGCATTTCTGTGGGCCACAGAGCATCCTAGCCTGCAGCAGGGAAACCAACACCAAGACACCCAGGATCAGGCACACAGGTGGGCTTTGGGGCAGGGGGAGGCCCCACACCACTATAGTTCTTGGCTATGGCTTCTCTTCCCTGCCTTCCGATGCCCCATAAACCACTTTCATGCTCCAGCAGAGTGCTATGACATCTCAGCATGGCAAATGCTGGGTCATCCCAGGGAGCCAGTATTGCTTTGGCAGGGCTGTGAAACAAAAGAAACATCAGCCCCAGAAACACTTCTTTATTTGCTGCTGCTGAAGAAACAAAACCTTTATGTGCAGTAACTTTGCTTTAAATAATAACGTTCGTGGATCCTGTTCTTAACCTTTTGCATCTGGTGTTCAAAATCGGCCCTGTTTTTTTTCCATGCGAAAGACTACGGATCTTATTTTTGTTTTGGCGCTGCTGTGCAATGCTGCCAGAGAAGTGCACTCAAGCTGGCACAGACCAAAGCTGGTGAGCCACCCAAATTATTGTTGGGTGGTTCAGTCCCTCTCTATTTCAAGAAGCCTCTGGGTATAATGACAGGAAGCTTGCAGGCAATTTTAAGCCAAACCTCAGAGAGGCTGGCATTCAGTCTGTGTTAAACACTCCTTATTAAAAGCTGCCCAGTCCGGATTCTGGGTGGAACTTTGATATCTGCATGGAGTAAAGAATAAGGGGCACGTTTGCAAAATCAATTGTGCAGTTTTTATATTTACTGCACGTTTACCACATATGTCATTTATTACACAGTGGAAAACCGTTAAATGCACAGTAGTTGTGCCAAGTGGCATTATGCTTTTAACAGCTTTATTCGTTTAACAGCTCCAGTTCTCATTATATTTTGCCATGTGGTACATGAGATTTTTATGCATTTAACAGTTTAAGAGGGTTCCATGGTATTTTCCTTTTATGTATTTCATACTGAGCCCAGGGTTTGGTTGGGGGTAGAGGGATTGTAGCCCCTGTACCCTGATAAGAGAAAGCAAAAGGCAAAGAAAATGAAAGATTAAATGAGGAAGGAAAAATTAATCAGATGTCCATGTGTCAGGGCACAAATACGTGTAACAAGGACAAAGCTCTCCCATGTGCTTTGATAGCCTTTGATGCTTTGTTTATAAGCCTTTCAACCACTTATTTTACATCTACTTTAATGACTACGATGTTGTTTTCCCACACAGAGGAAAAGAATGTATCTTTCAGAGTGCATGCACCTAGATGCTTCTATCCCACTCTCTCACTGTCACATACACATTTGTGCATTTCTGTGTTTATATTGATGCCCTCTCCTAGCACAACTGAGTAATTTCATAAAGGATCAGAAGGAGCACTTTTCACTGAGTAAACAATTCCTTCCAACAATCTCCAATCCACTTGCTGCCCTTCAAATAAATCTGTCTGTCCTCCTTTCCACAAAATCCCTTCTGGTGCATTATATTTTTTTAAAGAGTTGGATGAAATTTTTAAATTAATGGATTCTCTTCAAGAATTTCACCCAGACCTAGGTTTGCCCGCATGTATTTTTTACACCCAAGGTAGAAATTAATCCAGGAGAACTTACTGCAGTGCCTCCTCGTGCCTTTTTGTAAAAATGATTGGATCTGATGTGAATTATTCACATGGCAATACTGCATGCAGCACATACAACATGCAAAAAAGGAAACACCTGCCTAATATTCCGTTTCCCATTGCCTTCCCTCAATTAATCACTTGAGAAAACCATTTCATTACCTGCCAAATGAGTAGGATACCACCATTTTAAAAGATCCTTGTCCTACTAGCAGAGGTGTAAGTTATATACCACACATGGGAAAAGGCACATGTCTGTACCAAATGGGAGAAAAAGCTTGGTTGAGAGCTGACCCTTCCTTCAGCCTCTTTTAAAAGGGAAAAGGAAACCACTTAAGCAGGCAAAAGCCAAACATGATAGGTTCCCCAGAGACGAGGATTATTATTATTGTAGGAACAGATGTAATTTTATTGGCGGGAGGAGGAGGAGGAGGTGGGTCTAGTCCCAACCCCAGAGTTTGCTTTAAAAACAAAACCCCAAAAAGCCCGGCAACAATGAAATCCTCTATACCACTCACCTGACTTTTATTGGCAGCCACTTTGGCAAACAGAGCTTGAGATACCTTGGCCCTTTTCATCTCCTGTTGGATCTCGTCATAAATGGCAGCTGTGATGTTGACGTTGGCACTGTCCGCCTTAATGGGGAGGTCTGTTGTTGGTGTCGAGGTTTTGGCCTACCAAGAGACCATGAAAATAATAATTAAAAAAGTGCTGCTTTCAGCCCAGCCATCTGTGCAGAAATTATCAAAGGATTTCAGTCAGCTGATGCCAAACTGCATTAGCTACAGAGGGACACTTCCTGTCCATTATTCTAATCAGGTTAATTGTGATTGGAAATAATTGCAGTGCATTCCTATAGGAAATGCAAGGCCCCGTCAACTCTCCCCCTCTCCCTCTCCCAGCGTGTTTATTGAGCAGCTCAACAACAGGATAGGTAGCTGGGGCACTCGGCTGCAGGCAGCCGCTGAAGTTGGCTTTGCCAGCGAGCTACTGTGGCCCAGCCGCCAGGCTCTACCTTCTCCCCCCTCTCTAAAAGTGGCCTACACCTTGGAGGAAGAGCCAATTCTCCCAGAAAAAATGAGTAAATGGGTAGAGGTCTCTAAATAATAAATTATTACTCAATTTAATGCACTCCCTCAAGTCTCCCTCATCCTTTATTAAAACTATACGTATGTCACTTGAGTATGTATGGTTTCCCAGCCTTATCATCATTATGCTAGCCAGACAGTCACCTAATTTCACCTAGGAAATCAGTGGAAATGAAAAAAAAAAAAAAATCATTTCATAAAGCTGGGCTTTGGCATGCCTTTGATGTGCTGCCCTCATTCTCCTAAACTCATATTGAGATTTTGTGTATTCCGCTGCACTCCTTTTAATTGAATGATTTCCCATCAGCTTCTGTGACAAATGAAGGACAATAACGGACACTGCCAGAACTTTCCCTGGGCTGGACTACCCCTACAAGCCTTCTGTCAATACAGTTCAGCAGACTGCTACAAGGCATTGATTTTAAAGCCCCTCAGCCGTGGGGGTCCCCAGAACGCACTGGCAGGTGAGGTAGTGAGGGCAGTGCAAACTTACTGAGAGCTCCCGGCACCAGGAGCCCCGGGAGACAGATCTCATTTGCTTTCCTGAGCACAAAGAGGAGAGATACCAGGGCCGATCACTGCACCCCTTACACCTTTTAAGGGAAACGTGGGTTACTGATATAAAATCTCTGTTTTCTCCTGAGATGTTAAGGTCTTAAGAAACAACACAACCGAGGTGGCAAAGCTCACATTTCCCAATAGATCCAAACCACCCACACACGCTGGTGACACTCATATTTGGGCCCATTATGAACATTTTCAGCTGGCTCCTGTTTCTTTGTCACAGTTGAAGCCTACTAGAGTACATCAAATGTTCATTTTTAACTAGGCAGACATGTCCAAATACTGGGAAGGTTAACTAGGAAAAAACAAACCTTCTGAACTTCTCTTTCTGTTTTATTGTCCTCCAAATCTTCCTCTCCCTAACATCTTTTTTGTACCAAAGGCCACATAAATAACAGAGACAAAATTCAATTGAGACAACAATCTAAACTAATCATTCCTCCTTAATGTTTCCAGATAAAGCTTTAACCAACCTGTATCTTCTCCCTGTCCTACTCCCCAGGGCCAGTAGGCACACTGCTACGGGTTTGTTCCCTGCCTGTCATAGGCAGGACACAAGGTAGAAAGGGAGTAAGATTTTCCTGCTCTCACTAAGTCCAGCCCCCTGTGTTCAGGCAGGGGCAGCGGGGGCAGCCCACAGCCACCCCTGCCCTGGGAGCCCAGAGCTAAACCCACTGCCATCCACAGGCCATGAGCACATGCCGGGTACAGACCAATGGATGGACTGACAGGGACACCACACTCGGAAATTCAATGTTTACAGATACATGAGAGTTAAGGCAATTGTGGGAAACATAAGAAAACAACAAAGGGATCATGGGAAGGAAGAGGACTGTCCAAGTCTGTCAGGACTCATTTAATGGAGCTTTGTCGGGTATAAAATAAACCTTCCCAGGCGCTGGAGCCTTTGGCTAGCACAGCAGCCGAGGTCACCACGGCCTCAAAGGCCATTACAGAGGTCTGAGATCCTGAGAAGAACAAAATTAGCATGTAAAAGAAAGATTTAAAATATAGCTTCATCTTGCATGGGTTTCCTAAGCTTCTAGCTCCACATCTGAAAAACACCATTTCCCTGAACACCCTGAAAGCTGCATCATTTTTTATTTAACCACTGAAATAGCAGGGCAAGTACCAAACCAAAGTATCACAGTCACTAAAATAAAGTATTTTACTTTAGAGGCCTAGATTCAAAATTGGCCTTGATATTAAGAAGGAGACTATCGCTGTTGAAACATCTTGTTGCAAACAGTTGGGGAAAAAGAAAGAGAAGTGTTTTCAGCCACAGCACCAGAGCACCGAAACCCAGCCCCCAGTGCTGGTGTTCCGCATGCACACAACAACCCCTAGCAGCTTGGAGCCTCTTCCCCACGGCACTCGTACCCATTTGCTGGATCAATCTGCTGTTCTCACCTAAAGGCAGGTCCTGAGCCAGGGACATCCCATGAGGGTGGCCTGGGGCTGGCTCAGAGTCAGGGAGAGCCGAGCCAGGTTACTCTGTGTACCCTTACACCTTCTGCATGACTACCCCAGCACTAGCACTTCCACAGGTATCTGCCATTGCTCTCCTCCCACCCGGCACACTCAATCCCAAAAGCACTGCTGCAGGAGATCAGTATCTATGGAAACCATGTTTCCAAATGCCATTCCATCACCTTCTCCGGCTCCTGAACACAATTCCTGAAAGGGTGGTACTGCTCCTACCGCTGCTGCCCCAAAGCACCCTGCTCCAGGGTGGCTTCCTGGGGAGGCGACGCTGCCGGGAATCGCTGCGCTGCCGGCGAGGATGGCATTTGTACCACAGAACTAATCCCGGGCATATGGGGAAGCACGGTAGCCGTGCTGCCTGCCCAGGATCTGGGAAGCAGCCTCATTTGCAGAGGTGTCCAAGTTGTCAAAACAGCACCTGTGCTGACGGGTGCTGGCCCTCTGAGGGCTGGGGAATGTTATCCAGCGGGCACGAGGCGAGCACTGGGTACGCAAACCTTTGTGTGTTGCTTTTGCAAATTAAAAACCTCACAATACTCTGTGGGATTCTTCGAGCCGAAATAAGGCAAGGATGGGTTGTTTTATACATCTAGAGTATGGTTTTCTAGCAAAACTTAGCTCTTACAAATGCAGGTAAAATTTCCATTATTTTAAATTACATTCTAGCTGTAGCTAGAGCATGGGAAAATGCCGTATTTCAACACAGGAATGAGATGGGGCAACAGAACAATTTTGATTCTCACTGCATTGCATCTAAACTCTCAATTTCCTTTTTGTACTTGACTCTAGTTGCAAAACCTATTGCAATAAATATAAGTAGGAGTAAGCTAATTCTTAATTGAATAAACACATGCAGAAAGTGGGTACATTATTTAAAGAATAAAAGAGATCCCTGTATATTTTTATTTTCACTTAAAGGTAATTAAAAAAGATAAGGAGCATACAATGAGTTTCCCATGTAATAAAAATTCAGCGTCAAATTTGGGTTGGCAGTGAAAACAGTTCTTTATATCATGTACTAATGGTGTACTGATGGTGGTGAAGTGCACCCAAATGCCTGAGTTAAACTGAACAAGTTCAACAGTTTCTACAGAATCAGCACACCTTCCTTAGGGATGATCTGTTTGCCTGTGAAACCTGGCTCCCTCCACATTGCTTACTTACTTCTAGTAGCTGTGGCTACAGAATTCAAGTCCTCAGTGATACCGTTATAAGGGTTATATGGGCCCATTTACTAAAGAACAGAGAAGTGCTAGAACTGACCCGTCATGTCTGCACTGTTAGAAAGTTCAAACTCAAGTTAGGCAAAATGTCATGACAGGGATTAATCACCACCCTTGTGCAACCACTCTCACTTTCCAGAGTATATGCCTGGGACTACAAGCAGCCTGGTACAAGGGGGGATGACTATTACAGCATAGTATGTGGATGCTCTTTCTTAGTGCAAAGGAACAACCTACCCAGGGAAGAGTGGGCGGCAACAGCACGTTAATAAACACGTGCAGTGAGATGACAGCTGCCTTGGGACTCTAAAGCATCATCTTCCTTCCCAGCACCCTGCCCATCTCCACTTTCTGTACTTCAAATAATTACTCATGAAAACCTCTAACTCAAAGACTGTGACTTCCTATGCAGAATGCAGAGCAATTTGGTTTCTAACAATGGCTATCTAATCCACTATCGACCTCTGTTCCCTACACAGTTTTTATTGCAACATATATGAACCTCCCCACAAGCCCAGAAATTTTCTCTGTATTCTGAAGAATCTAAAAGACACAAGTAAAAAGCTACATACGCTGTTTTTCTATAATATATCCTATAACAGTCATTTAATGGACACATATCAAGAGCCTGTATGTAATGCTCATACGTACTCTTTCAGGAACTAATGTTACACACTCTTTTGCATTTTTGGCATTGATTAAAGCTTGAATGATCATCACAGTCTCTTGCTGCAATCCACTAAATGTCTTAACAGCCACTCCAAAACCTTACAAAAATTTTCCACAACTCATCTGGGCAAGGGGAATGACAGACAGGGGAAGGGTGGAGAGAAACTCCTTCCCTGGAGTAATCCACACAACAAACAGGTAACAAGGGACTGTATCTTACCTGGGGGGTTCTGGAGGAGCTTGGGCTGCTGGCAGCTGAAGACACCATGCTCACGTTTGGGTTCATACTTCTCTCTCTCTCATCCTGGTAGATACGATCCCGCTCTGAGTCAGGCAAGTTGAGGAAATTCTGCATTGCCCTCAAGTTTACGAGAAGGGACTGGGAAGCTGTCCTAGGGTCTTCTTCTTTACGCAGGATCTCTGACAACAAGCCCTGTTTAAAAAAAAGAAGAAAAAAAAAAAAAAGCCAGTCATGTGTTGGTGGGTTTCTTTGGTTTTTTAAAAATTTGTTTAGTGTAACCAGCTGGGTTGCAATACTGAGAACCTGCATCAGAATCTCATGGGCTCTCCCTGAGGGGATATTTTGTAGGAAAATGTTTGTCTTCTGGGGGCTGAGGTTTATTTTGGGACTGTCCTATTCTGGCACTGTAATAAGCTTCTGAGTATGGAGATGCTGGATAGGAAGGTAGGTGCATTGGGTAGAAGAAATTGCAGTTATCACCAGGTGCTTGCTGCAAATATTTTAGGAACTGTTAGATATCTTTCTCTCTTTTTACTTGAAGCTGGGAACACTTGGCAATCCTGTTCATCTTTGACAAATCTGCCAAGGTTGGTAAATTTAGTTTCGACATTTAAACAGTAGAGGAGGTTTATAAAGAAAAAGGTTTAGCTGGGTTTTGATGTTACAGTCCGTTCATTTCTGTTTGGACAGTCATTTCTGAAAGAAGAAAAATGGAGCAATAATAAAACCTTGGAATCTAACTTCAGGGATTTAACCCATTATTTCATTTCTCATTTAAAAATACCACAGGCTCCACATTGCAATCATGAATGAACATATTAATCTAGTTTTTACAAAAGCCATTACAGAACATTTCCAAAAATAAGGAGAGAGGAAAAAAAAAAAGCAAAAAAGAGTTGGAAAGATGAAAATATCATTAAATGAGGCTTGAATATAATGATGGGATTAAATTTATACATAGCTGTATGCACTCAACAGTTCCACAGATTATCTAGAAGCTAAAGGCACGGCACACAAGTCTGGATAAGGGCCTACAGAAACTAGGGGGGTCACAGTGTTTGCCACCAGCTTCCCCCAGGCACCCCCTCATGTCCGACACTTAAAAGGCTATTCTGTCAATATGTTTCCATGAGCAATCCAACACCCTTCCCGCTTCCCTCCTGTCACAACCCAGAGCCTGTCTGCACCACTGCTCCCGGGAACGCCGGCCACCGAAGCCCTGTGAGATGCCAGTGGGAGCTTGGAGGGCTCACCTTGACCTGCTGCTGGGAGATGAGCAGCGTTCAGCAGCCACATGCACAGGGACCCCGCAGTGCCCTGGACACGGCTTCGCTGTCGCTGTCGACGCGAGCATTTTGCAGTTACTTTACAGCCTCAACCAAGGCAAGCTGCCCCGCAAGTAAAGTCAAGGCTTACTCCTTTCTTGTAAGAAATATGTTACTAGAAAACAACCACACACTCAGAGCCCTGCAATATTAGTTTATTGTCTTCCATGTCAGAGTCTCCTCCAAAAACCCTTACTGAAACAATTCTACTGCAGCTAGCCCATTAACCAAATGCCAACATGTTTAGTATGTATTGATCTTATTTACCTGAAAAAACCATCTGACCAGCAAGTGATATATCTGTATCTGCATTTATCTGTTTTCTGCTATTAAACACCTACACTAAAATACATACATGAATGCTCTACTTCAGCAGTGTTTACACCAGCAATGCTCAAAACAAGCTCCACACACAACCTGGAGGTAGGCTGCACACAGCTCCAACTTTTCAGCTCCTCATCTACATAATCAAGCTAACATACTCCCAATTACATTCTTCTGCAATTATCAGAGTGGGCACCAGAAGGACTGGAGCTGGGAATGGAACCATGGTGAGCTCCACTCAGAAATGGGATGAGAGAGAGAAGCTGGCTGTTGAAAATGGTCTGCACTGGGAAAAAATCTGAAGAAATTGCAGTGCTGGGCTGCTCTCTGGTATTCTGTGTGACCTCAACACAACTGCATGTTCATCCTTGGCTTCTTCCTCAGCGTTTACCAGCCGTCAGAAAAGCTAAGGACATTTTGAAAACCCTTCCAGCTTTTGATAGGCTTACAGGCTGGGGGAGATTAACCAAAATAAGGACATAGAGGGCATTGAAGCCATGACCTGCAAGATCAATACACTAAGTCCCTATGAAAGTTTTCCCTTAAACACATTAAAAACTTCTCCAAATGAAGTAAATAAATGAAACATTGGTCCAACCAGTTCTCTAAATTCCTAATTGTCTGTCTTTTAAAGGATATATAACTCCTTTTTTTTTTCTCCTAGAGAAAAGCTCAACTTCAAAAAATCATGAGTTTATGTTGAAAGAAAGGATCCTGAAAGCTACTGGAGCTGATTCGAAGACAGCTTTTTCTCCCTCCCATCTTAGCCTGGCTAAATTTATGGTCCAATTTAAAAAATGGAGAGCAGAAACATATGTGAAAGCATGCCAGCAATTACTTTTCTGTGCAGTCATTGACTCTGTATGTAAATCAGAGGCTCACAGGTACAAGAGGCTTGCTCGTGGCACTAAGAAGTATCTCACTGCCTGACATACCAACTCTTGCGCTTGAAGGATCTGATGCATCACCAGAAACATCTTATCACGGGGTAGACTCAGTGCCTGTGCCTCTTGCTTCTACGAGGGTCTCATCTTGATCTGTAGGCACCTGCTCCAGGGACGGGGAGTCGCTGCTCCCTCCAGCACCCTGACAGAGGCAGCCCCTCACAGGGGTGAGCCCTGCTCTCCGTGCCCTGCCCCAGGTAGGAAAACCTGCTTGCAAAGAGGGTTTTTCTGCAGCTCCTCTAAGTGCTTTGGCAGCTTAGGAACCATGCAAACAGCAGGAGTGCTAATAAGAAAACTGATTCACAAGGGAAAAATCTGATGTCCTCCTGCAACTGGAGGTAAACAACGTGAGTAAACAGAAGCAGCTAGATAGCTGAGTGATAGGGTAGGACGATAAAATAAAGTATCTTGAGAGCAATAACGTTTACAATAATATAATTCTGAGCTACTGAAGTATATGCAAACTAACCAGTGAGCAACATTATAAAAAATAAAGTGATATTAAATAATCTGTTCAGCCTTTTTGTCACCTGCAACAAATTAGGCTTTCAATATGCAAAACATCTTCCTTCCAGAAAAACAAATGATCATGATTTCATTTAATTGTAATTTAATGAGGCATAATGTATTTTTTAAAGTGATATACTCCAGGTGTGTGGTGAGGAAACTGGCCCAGCCAGACAAACCCTACTGTTTCTATTTTTGAGAAAACCCTAAAGCCAGCCAGAGACTGTTTTCATTTCTGCAAATTATGTTTCTGCTGGAGGGGGTGAGGGAGGGAAACCCACAGCATTCATACATTTGTTATAAAATTCCATTGGCTAAATTAGCTCATTCTGACTTACTTACATCTTGCATATTAAAAAATAAAAATAAAAAATTGGCAGTTTGCAGAGCAACCAACTCTGCAAACCTAAAAGAAGATCTTCAGGGACTAGAAAGTCTCAATATGATTTTAAATAGCCAAACAGATCTTCTACACCGAACACAGCTCCCAGGATACATTTTAGGACATGTAGCTTGATAATATCTTTGCTTTTCCACTCCTCTGAATCATTTTTAAACAGGCTGCTGAAGAGGCAACTGATGAAGCTTAATGTTCACACAGGCTGTGCTTGCAAACGAGGTGTGTGCTCACCCTGAGACAAGGGCTCTGCACAGTCTGGTTTACCCTTGGAACTTGTACCATTTTTAAAATTACACACTGGATCCATAATTGACTTTAAGAAAATAATACCTGTGGTGGAGAAAGAAGCACATGTCCAACCAAAATAAAAAAGTTACTGAATCTATTTAAGGTAAGAGTAATTTTGACAGTGTTTTTTCAAACTAGCTGAAATGCAGTCCCTGCAAGCCAGCAAAGTCACAGTCGTGGGGGTTTGCTTTGCACTAATTCTATGAAACCCCACTTGTGAACTTCTTTTATTTTTATTAACTATGGGATTTCCAGGACAAACAACCCATATGTCATTATTTAAAAAAAAATTTTTAAGCAAATTCTGAAAGATGATGCAGTACAACATAGAGAGAATGTTATTCAAACTGACTCCGACATCCAGCGGACCAACTGACCAGGCCTCGAGGCAAACAAAGGCTTGACCAAAGCCCACAGAAGGTGAGCAAAGCCTTTCTGCACTTCTCCCAGAGCATTCCTGCTCAGGCCTGGAAAGGTGTAAACGAGATCTCAGTGGGACAGCAGACTGCACTACCAGAGACTGAACACAGGACAATTTTGCAACCAGAACTTTTGAAAAGCAATCTGGATGGAGGAGAGGAAGTGATGCTGGAGTGCAGCCCAGACACCAGTGTCATGGGCACTGAGGAGGATGAGAGACATCAGGCAGCAGGAGACTCCCAAGCACTGGCCAGGACCTCACACACATCAGGTCTGATGACTTGGACAGGAGATGTGCTCCCTCTTGTACAGACCCAAGCCATTTGACTACAAAAGTGGGCACTGGGGTTAAAGAGGCTCAGAACAGACTACGGACAACCAAAGCACTGTCCAAGGCAAAAACTTAAATAAACCCAACTAATGTGCTAAACCTCAGTTTTTATGTTCTGTATAAGGAGATTATATATATGAAGGACTAAAAAAGCATAAACACTTTTTTCAGACTTTTGGTTTATTTGTGCCTCTCCATACTTCAGCTATGGCCAAAAGCAACAGAGAAAATGCTGAAATGCTAGAAAAATATTGTTTTTGTAGTATTTTGCTTCCAATACTTACTATACTTGTAACTGACAGTCTCAATAGAAAAGTTATTCTGCTTTCCATCAGGGATAGATGCTACTCTGAGCAGGATCAGAAAATGTAGAGATTTATTCAAATTCAACATCTGGATCTTAAAGGTCAGTAATGTCAAACTGTCCCCCCTCAGCACACAAGGCCTATTTCCAGCATGGAAGGCAACACTCAGGGAACCCTTTGGTGGCTGCTCATTGCTACTGAACTACACTGTACCTTCAGCATACAACAAACTTGATTTGCCCAGCTAAAACAACCACTTGTATTTACAGTTGTCTGCTATCTGCAACTGGAAGCTGGAGGCAGCAGGTCAGCCCAGGAAGCTCTGCAGCAGAAATACCAACTTCTCAT